AGACATGATCTTACCACCATTCGACGCGTCTCGTCGAGACGAATCCAATGATATATGGCTCGACTTTGTACGATTACTAGATGGCCGGCTATTTGATTTTTTGCATTTTTATAAAAAATTGGATTAAACTGAACCGAACCGCCAGTTTTTCGGTTCGGTTCTTACGGATTTCAGCTCTAATCCGAACCGTCTATAATCCGGACCAAACTGACCCGTTCGGAGCTTTAGTATTCATTTATCACCCAAAGAAAATAAGATTACACCAAAAAAAATGACCAAAAAAAACAAAATCATAAAACCCTGAAAAACTCACAGTGCAATGAGAAAAACCTGAGTAAAAAATACCAAACATATATTTCAACTCTGTCTCCTTATTTTAGAAGACTAACTCCCCCATTAACAACTAGTAAAAAATATGTTGGTTGATGAGCTTCTTCTAAGAAATAACAGTCTGGCCTGCGAACTACTTGGCCAGTTAAACTTTAAAGGTGTAAGAACTAAAACGTACTACTTTTCAACTTTTCAGAAAGCCCAGAAGAATATTCATATAGAACTGCCATTTTACATTATTGTTAGTAACTTCAAGATTTATGATAACGGTCCTAACTAGAGTTCCGAATGGGTCAGGTCAGGTCAGGTAAATTGATAAATCTGACCTGAAATTTTTTTTCAGGTCAGGTCAGGTCAGATCATATCAGGTTATCTATTTAACCTGACCTGAACTGAAACCTGAAAATTTTTAGGATTTATATTAAAAATATCAAAAAAAAATGATGCAAAACATTTTTTTTGAAATATTGCGATTCAGTTTTTTATATTAAAATTGTATAAAAAGGTGAATCGCAATACTGCAACTAACTTTTAAATATAAAATCAATATAAAAAAGTGAATTCCAATATCACAATTCACTTTTTATATATAAAAAAGTGAATTCTGATATCGCAATTCACTTTTATTATATAAAATCAATATAAAAAAGTGAATCCCAATATCGCAATTCACTTTTATTATATAAAATCAATATAAAAAGTGAATTATAATACTATAACTCACTTATTATATAAAATCGTAGTTTCAGATCAACATGTTATTCAGGTTATATTAATGTTACAACCTGAACTGATTCTGAATTGCAATTGCTAAACCTGACCTGAAAAATTCAGGTCAACCTGTCAGGTTACCTGAATTTGGTCAACCTGTTTGGAATTCTAGTCCTAACTCAATATAAGCTGTAAAGAGTTCAGGTTATATATGAAGTCAAAATTAAAGCCCAAAAGTAGAAATATTTCGATTTGGAAAGGTCAAAAGTTGAAATTAAAGTCGAAATGGTTGAAGTTATATCATAGTCATGTGATTTTTATAATTATAATTTAGGCTGGACCAAATTGATAATCTGTTTAACATTATCACAAGATTTAAAAATTAGAAGGGAGGGCTTATTAACAACAATAAGTAACTTTAATATCACGTGATTTATTGAAATTACCATTAGTGCTGCTAGTATTTATTTATTTATTTTTTACAAATTAATACTAAACTACGTATTTTACATTTTTTTCTTCCTATTGTTAGATTGAACATCGTTACTTCCACCTCTTTCTTTTTATTAGTTTTAATTTCAACCTGACAAAAATAATTTTTTCCATTCTTCAGGCACCAAATACAATATGGAAAAATAAATTTATATTTCGCTACCAGATTTTCTTGAGGATCTGCAAAACTACCATCAACTCCACACCAATAGCATAATTGTTTTAAACCTTGCCTGTGAGATATTGAAGAATAATAGGCTAATTCAATAGGCAATTCACAAGTAATCTTCTCACGAACAAATAATTTGTTGTATAAAATATGGTCTTCTGAAACCAATAAAGAGTCACAAGTATAATTCATTTCATTTTCAATTAATCCAAATTCTTGTCTCTCATCAGATATTAATGTTCGTTCACTATAAATGCATCGTAACTTTCCACATTGAAAATATTCTATATAGGTTTAGACCTTTGTATTGATGAGAAGACCCTTAGGAACATGGTCAGCAGATTCCAAAGCTATCACCAAAGATGGTCTGTGAGGTTCACTTGTTTCAGTATTGTGAACAGAATTGAAAGCAGCATAATGGTCATCATTTTCTATATTAATATTATAAAATAATATTAATGCCATTTTACATATTGTTTATATTTGATATGACAATTACCTTTTGATGGCATAGGATCAGAAAAATTTCCCAGTTTTTCAAAAATATCATGAGGAAGACGGATTGGCTTATATAGAGTACAAGATATATCATTGCATTTTTTTATCTGTAATAAAATAAAATTAAAATTCAGTATTTAATAGGACCCCGGACATCACATATATAACTCATAACTGATCTGCATGAATTTAAGTACTTTTTGCTCCTGCTAAAATAGACCTAATTTGCTAAAAATCAAATTATTACATTTCAAATCTATACTAATTTGCTAAAACTCAAAATATGAGTTAATAATCTTTTTTTTATTATCAATAAAAAAATAAATGATTAATATAAATTAAACTGCCAATTTTTATAATTAAAATATGTAGATTATAGATAAAATAATAATTAATAAAAATAATAAATTAAATAAATAATTATTAAAAAATAAAATGTTGCGAAACTAAACGGACGGGTTTTTGGCCCACATTATGCTTAATTTTGGCCGGAATTATACTTAATTTTGGCCATAATATGACCCGGACCCCGAAACTAATATTTTTAAAAATATTATTTATAAAGTTAAAAACAAAGGATAAGTTAAATTTAAAAAAAAGTACCAATTTGCTCAAATATAAAATATGACTTTGTAAAATCAATACAATTTGCTAAAACTCATAATTATGACTATTAATTAATTTTCAATCAATTTACTCTTTCTAAAATTATGAGTTTAACCTAATTTTGATTGAATTTGCTAAAACTCAAATGTAAGTTATATATGTGATGTCCGGGGTCCTTATTTAATAGTGTATTATAGATTAATCAAAAATATTTTTTATAGAACCTGAAAATAATAATGGCATATCCTGCAATGAGTTCTTATAAAATTTTGGAATAGATTTTTCTTAGAAAGAATATCAGCAGTAGTTTCTGATATTTTTAATGTTTGATCAATTATTAAAATTGTCTAATTAAAAAAAGACATTAATATAAAGTATTGATTTAAAAATCATAAATATTTTCGCTATAAATACTTACATTGAAAAATTCTGTAATGGCAAATTCTTGAGCTGGATCATAACAAATAAATTGTTCATTATGTAAACGAAGATTCTCTGTTTGATCTTTAAGAAATTCTTGAATCAAAGTAATTGAATTTTGCAATTCACTTGCTAATTAAAGTAATTTTGTTGCAAGATTTCAGATTTCTTCTAGTGTATTAGCTTTTCCAAACAACACTTCTATATCTTCTGACATTGTTTCTCATATTAAAGCTACTCCCTGTAAGGCCAAATTTAATATTGACATAATTCTTTCAGCAGGATTTGTTCAACTTTGGTGGGGTACTGTACGAAAGCAATTAACATGTCAAAATTCCCACAAAGAAATAAACAAATTAAAGAAATTTGGACTAATCCATAGGTTACTCAATGATCGAGACTACCATCAGTATAAATGCAAAGAATGGGAGGAATTGTTTGTGAATAATAAGCAGAAATTGTATTAAAAAATTCTGTTATATGTCGGATAGCAGTACTGGATTGAAATATAGTGTCTTTATAAGAGACAAAAACTTGTCTATCATAAAATGATTCTTCAATACTTAAGGGAACTTTGCAAATAAAAATAACAGAAGGTGTCAATGATAATTTAGTGAAATAGTGATCACATGCAACCAAATTAGCTTTTTTTAGAACCATGGATTTTTTGTTACGAACTCCAGTAGAAGTAGCCACTCCCTCACCAATAGAAACCTTGTGTTTGTCATCTGCACAAATTAAGCAAATATAGTCCCGAAAAAGAATGGCAAATTCCCACAAATAGTAGAACAAACATGCACAATAATGAAAATCAGAATGTTTTTTCTGAAGAAGACATGTTTGAATTTGAAATTTGACATTGAATCGACCAGTATAATAGATTGCACTAGCTGCAATGGCCAATGGGATTAGTAGGAAAAAATTGTAATCTAATCCATTTTCTACAGGGAATTTGAATTTCATTAGGAAGTGGAGTAGAAAATTTGTTTTGCAAACGTTTGATTATAATATCACGAAGATGCTGAACTGACATAGCCAAACACTGGTAAAAAAATGGTCTATCCTACACATATCCTACACATATCTTACATATATCGGGTACTCAAAATGTAGAAAATCATACACCTGTCTCTTATACACATCTAGATGTGTATAAGAGACAGGTATACCTATCAGGTACCTGATATATGTATGATATATATATTAGTACCCGATATGTGTATGATATGTGTATTATTTGTGTATGATTTTCTACATTTTAAGTACCCAATATGTGTAAGATATGTGTAGGATAAATCATTTTTTTACCAGTGAAAGGCATATACATAATATCATGGTGATGACGATCATCAACTGCAAGTATTTTTTAAGTTAAAATTTTAGTAAATTAAATAAAAAATGCGAATTAGAATTGGTAAATATGAAAAATAAGACAAATAAAATTAAATTTATCTTACCTCATTGAAAAAACCAGCCATTTCATTCTAAAATGCGTCAAATGTGGATCCTTTAAATCCATTATTAATGCAAAAATCAACTATAATAGTCAGATCCTCTAAGGCTAGCATAATACGCAAACAGTTTTTAATCTCTTTAGTCTTTACTAATTACATCATTTGTAACTGCTGCATCACCGGTAAAATCATAATAAAGAGTACGTAAAACTGCTGGAGTAACTTGTTTAATGAGGAAATATTATAATTTGATTTTTTTAATTAAAATTGGTATTTTTAATATTAATGTAAAAATATGAAAATTATAAAAAAATTACCTTATGAAGAGCATTTTTTCACATTTGTCATGTGTAAAATTTAGGTAAAAGCTTTTGTAAGCTAGCCATTATTTGCGCTAATTTAGTCTCATCTTGGTCATTAAAACAAGAAGGAACTTTTCAAATATAGTTTAATGTTCCAAGATAGTTGCCTTGGTGATACTGATAAATTGTTACTGCTACATCAAATTGCAATTCTTTAATATATATATGTTTTTTGAAAACATCATTTGAAAGAAAAGATTCTAAATTAACATATTCATAATCTTCTTTACTTTTTAAAAATTCTGATAATTCGCCATATCTTCTTTTCATATGCATGATACTATTAATTGTATAGACCTTAAGATCAACAGTTAGATCTTGAGCTAGAACATCACTGTGATGAATTTCTTGCATCCGCTCATTTGCTATATTAAGATAATGTGAATATTTTTTGATAACTTGAATTAATTCTAATACCTTTTGAATAATTGGTTCCCAAACTTTACTGCAAGTCCAAGGTTGTGTTACTGAAATTAATAATGATTGAACAAGTTCTTCCAGTTTGGCATGTGACAATTTTTCTTTTTTGTGTTTACCATGATGATAGAATTGGTTATAAATGGTATTTTATTTGTATAATGAGAGTTCTTGAAATAAAACTGGAAGATGAAGTGAACGAGCACAAAACTTATCTAAATGTGGATCGATATATCAAATTAATGCTGCCAGTCACTCAATAAATTTTTTGCCTGCAGTTTCATGCAGATTGCCATTCCATTTTTTTGTTGCAATAATCATATGGTGTGCGTCACCTATAAACCACAAAAATATCATGTGACTTTAAAATTTTATACGTTAAGAATTAAGCAGTAAAATGCAAATTTAAAACAATAAATTAATAGAATAGCATATGCTGAACATTTCTATCAGTTTACTTTTTAAGAATTAATATAAAAATTTAATTTTATTAAGTCTGAAAGTTCGAGAATAAATCATATGATCTATATGGAAAAATGGAAAATTTCAAACTGGTGATCAGGATAAATATTATATGAATTTCATATGAAAATAGCATTTTTTTTTTTTATTAATTTCCCCACGCAACAACAATGACTCATCCATCTAAGAGAAAAACTAGAGAAAAAGAACAGTTACGAGATAATAACAGAAAGTTTACAAAATGACCAAGACTATCTAATAGATGTGATAAATTAAGTGATGAATGGAGTGATGAAAATGACAGTGAATGGGATGAAGAGTTTAGTTTATTAAATAAAAAAGAAGCTTTTGAAGATAAACCTTTTGAGTTAACCTGGTCAGATAACACCCACTTGGAAAAAAAAAACGTGAACTATATCTTACTGGGAAAATAAAAAAATTAACATATTTTGATAAATATAGACCAAGTGGCTTCTTTACAAAAGCTGCAAAAGGAACTATAAAAATATCAACTTTTATGAATAATAAACTAATACCAGATGATTTTGAAGACGTTCTTGATGATATGGATGAGGAAAAACAAAATCAACTTGATGTGGGTGAAAGAATTGAAAATTTAAAGACTGATCTTAAAGAAAAGCAGAAGATTTTAACAGCTGCTGAATATAACAAAAAATGTGCAATATATGAGTATTTGAAAAGACTAGGTGAAAATGGAAAAGGAAAGATGAAAGCCAGCAAAGAAGCCATACAGTTGATTTTTATTGATTGTGCACCATATAGAGCAAGATTAATTCAATACTGGGTAAAGATGTTAGCTGTAACTGTAATATTAAGACACAGTATCATATGTAATAGGTTGCAACCTATCTACATTAAAAAGCAAAAGTTGTAATGCTGTAATTAAGTTGTAATGCCATAATTAGATCGTAATACTGTAATTAGGTCTTAATGCCGTAACTAATCTGTAGGACAATCTTAACGTACGCATCATGTGTACGATCTTAGTGTACATCCTTATTAATAAAATTGAAATTACCATATTTTTGGTAAAATTTAGTAAATCCGGTACAATCAAATGAAGTGCTAGTTAAAGTGCTATAGTTACAAATTAGGAAATAAACAATTTTTAAATCACGTGCATATACAATAGGATAATAAAAGTATTGTTTATATTTATAATCATCTCTCTCTCTCATTTCTCTCATTTAAAATTTCTTATTTAGTGATATATTACAGTCAACTCCCTCTATAGTCACTCCCGTTATAGTCACATTCTACTATATAGTCACACCAGTTGAATGTTCAAAACACTTTACAGTCGGCTCTCGATATAACGAAGTTGGTGGTTTGGCCAATCAGGCCTTCGTTATAAGAAAATTCGTTAATAAAATATAGCGAATTTCGATATAATGGGAAAATCTGGTATAACATATGAAACTTTGGTATATTGTGGTATATTATGATTTCTTATGTTATGTACAACGTATGTTACACAAAATATCTTCGTTGTATTAAAAAAAGTTCATTATAAAAAGAAATTCGGTATAAAAAGAGTCATTTTATTATGTACAGTTTATAGACTTACTTCGTTAAACGGTATACAGCATTTAATTAGTAATATTCATTATAGCAAATTTTTTTTTATATGTTAAAATTGGTACAACACTAAAAATTCGTTATACCAAATAATTCGTTATATCAAAATTCGTTATAACGAGAGCCGACTGTATTACTATAAAATACTTGTACTATTTATTACTATATTATATCACATAACTAATATTTTATTTTTCAATTTCTTGATATATTATTTATTTTTCAACTAATTATTTATTTTTTAGTTAATTATTTATCTTTCAGTTAATTATTTATCTATATCTTTATCAGTATATTATTTATCCATATTACATGATTTTTCTGATATCTAGAATTATAATGCCATTAAACATTTTGCTTAATTGTTTAGTATCTAGTAATTGTAAAATAATAGTTAATAACTCTTTAGAATCATTTAATTAAAATGAATTAAATGATACTAAGATCATTATTTTAGATGTGATAGATTGCAAGTTATTTATAATTTATTATTTTAATATTTTTTACATAACTTATGATCTATCATATTTAAAAAAGTTGATTTTAGTACCATTTGATTTATCTTGATTATATGATTCCAAAGAGTTATTAATCATCATTTTACAATTACTAAATACTGAGAAATATTAAAATACCTATTTTTGACATTTTGTTAAATAGTTTATTAGCCAGTAATTGTAGAAAGATAAAATTACCACTATTTGATTTATCTTAGTAAGATAATTCTAATAAACTGTATTACATACTTTTGTAATCATTAGATGCTAAGTAATTTATTATATTTTTTATACATAATTATGACCATANTATACCATTAGAACCGTCTCATCAAGACGAATCGAATGGCGGTAAGATCATCTCTCTACGATTAATATTGGAGGAGTTACAATACAATAAAGTTTTAAGTATAATTTTGGCCAAAATTATGTTAATTTTTGGCCGGAATTATGATATACTAATATAAGAAATTTTTTATATAGTCACATCTCTTTATAATCACCAAATATGGACTGTCCCAAATGTGTGACTATAAAGAGAGTTGACTGTATATAGTATTATATATTTTTTTTACAAAATGTCGAATAGTGATTTCTCTACAAATGTTGAAGTTCTTAATAATCAAGATATTAAAGAAGGAGTTACTTTTAAAGATTACACTACTTTTGAAACTTATATAAAAAGCTATGCACAAAACCATGGATTTACTGTACGACTTGATCATGCAAAATTTGAACTTAATAAAGAGATAAGATGGCGAGATATAGTATGCTCACGAAGTGGAAGTTCAATAAAGCAAAAAAATGAAAAAAATGAAAATATTACCAGTAACAACACCAGTAACAATTCTCGAAATCATGCTTCTCAATGCTGCAATTGTCCTTTTATTGTTAGAGGAATTAAATCTAAAGATAATGGATTATGGACTATAGTTAAAATTAATTTAACACATAACAATGGTTTTATTCCTTTACATGTAAAAAAGTTTATGCCAGATAATCGGGAAATACCTGAACATATTAAGGAAAAGATTTTCAATCTTCATGCAGCTGGAACTAAAATAGCAGACATTCGAAACATAGTAAAGTTTGATCATCCAGAAATAACTTGTCTTTATGATGATATTTATAATTTTATATATAATTATGGAGATAGATCGACAAAACAAAAAATTTTTGATGCGCAAGATTTTGTTACATTATTAGAACAGCATAAAGCTGCAGATGATGAATTTGCATATGTAGTTAAAGTTAATCCCATTACAAATGAATTTGAATCTGCCATATGGATGTTCTTAGAACAAAGAATAAACTATGCTAGATTTTGCGATGTTATAATTTTTGATAATACCTATCGTACAAATAGGTTTGATCTACCATTTGGTATATTTACAGGTATAAATAATTATGGCCAGAGTGTTTGTTTTGCCGGAGCATTGATGAACAGTGAAACAACAGAATCATTTACTTGGCTATTTAATATATTTCTACAATTGGTTAATCATCAAGCTCCCAAAGTTTTACTTACAGACAATGATTCTGCAATTTCATCTGCATATAATATTACATTTAAAAATGCTGGAACAAAACACTGATTATGCCAATGGCATTTAGTAAAAAACATTACAACAAATTTAATCTCAAAATTAAGTTCTAATTGGAAGCCATTTTTAAATAATTTTTACGCTTGTTTAAATGAAACTAATGAAACAAATTTTAGTTTAGCATGGGATTCTTTAAAGAATATGTTTCCAGAAGCTGCGTCTTATTTAAAAACTTTAGAAAAGTGTAAAGAAAAGTGGGTTATTTGCTATAACCAAGATGTCTTTATGGGAGAAATGTCCTCTACTCAGCGTGGGGAAAGTATGAATAATTTAATGAAAGGCTATATGGATGCTAGCACTTTTATGTCAGGATTTCTCAATGCTTTTGAATCAGCATTAGATAGTAGAAGACAAGATGTTGAATTTATCAAATATAAAGAAACTACATTAAATATAATATATAAGACAATTAGCCCATTTGAAAAACAGGCAGCTTCAATATTAACAATTTATGCTTTAAAGAAGTTTCAAGAACAATTATTACAATCCTCTTGTTATAAATGTGAAGAAGTTTTGGTTGACTCTGAAAGGTAATTTTTTTTTTAAGTTGTTAAAATACAATTGTTATAATTATTTAATTTGATTTTATTTATTTTTACTAAAGTTTAATTCTACAAGATACTGGGTTAAATTTAAAGGTTTTTCATGTTACAAGATTTGAAACTTCAAGTAGTGAAAGAATTGTAGAATATAATTTACTAGATGAGTTATTTACTTGTACATGTAGATACATGACTTTTGCTGGAATAATTTGTCGTCATATATTATGCGTTGCTACACAACTCAATTTAGATTCATTTTCTAAAAAAATGTATTTGCTACGATGGTGTAAAGATCCAACAGAAGTAGAAATTATGCATCAATACAAAACTTTCTATTCTCTACAGTCTCATTATGCTACATCTTCTAAAAATGTAATACAACTAGAACAATTAGAATAAGATTATATATATAATCTTAATCGTACAATTTGGAGGTTACAGCGATTTGTTAATCAAAAACCCGAAACTGCTCCAATTTTTAATGAATCACTATCCATTTTATTAAAAGCACAAATAACTTCCGCTAACAATGAATATAATAATAATTGGATTAGAGAAACTGATAATATTATAAGAAATCCACAGAATATAAAAGCAAAAGGTGGTGTTCGCTCAAATAAAAGAAAAAAGTCAAGTATAGAATCTAGTGCTCAAAAAACAAAGCCAAAAAAAAGGTATTTTATTAGTATTTTTCATTATTTATTTATTGTATACATAGCTACAAAATAATTAATTTCATATTTATTTATATACAGCGCGTTGTAAATGAGGAAATCTCAAACAAAGAAAATAATCCTTCAAATATAATGGTAAAAAGATTTATTTTCGTTAAATTAATTTAATTATAAAATGCAATAACTCCAATAAATTTTATATAGTACACGACAAATAGAGAAAATTCCAATAAAGATAATGATGATCTGGATGTAACGGTAAATAAAATTTTATACATTTTAGTCATTTTTGTTATTTGTTATTGAAGTTTACTGAATCTAATCTAAATAACTAAAGGTTTCCGATGTATGTCCTTATTGTGAGGAGAAATTACCTTCTTTCTTATCTACAAAATTAAAAGAACTACTGGTCAAATATCAGGGGAAAAAGCTAAACGTTGTAGAACAATTTAAATTTTGTCGCATCCATATAGCAGAAACAAAAATTATTCCAGATGGTGTTGAAAAAGGTTATTTAATGGAAATAGATTTTAGTGCTATTCCTAAAAGGGTTGAAATTTTCCGATCTGATTTGTTAGATATTTGTAAAAAGAAGGTCAAAAGTGTTTATCGTGAAAATGTTATGAGAGCATATCGTGAAATTGGAAAGAATAAAGCCAATACACCTATGGGTATCATGAATAGAATTGAGAATTTTCAGGTAACTCATATTTTTATTTAATTTTATGCATTTATGTTCTATAATTAACAATAATCTATTACCAATTAACAAATTAGCCTGGTTATTATGGACTTCGTGGTGCTGTTATAATCGCTGAAACTTTAAGAACGCTATTTATTGATACAAAAATTTTAACAAAGTCTTTAGCATCACCACAAACACCAATGGAGTATTTGCAGGAAGTTCTTATTCCTGAGGCGGCAGTTAGATTGATTCAAGAAGATTACAAAGGAATTCAAATTGAAAATGTGCGTGAAA